GAGATCTGGGGTATGAATGCAAATCCAGTGTCTGCGGGGAACACAGGCTTGGCGTGCCTGCTTTTGGGGCTCCCACCGGCACGGCACTGTGTGAGGGAGTAGCTGTCCAGTGCCCCTTTACAGACCCACATGGGCATAATGGAGTCTCCAGAGGCCCAGAGCTCACCGGCTCATGACTGCACCAGCAGAGCCAGGGGCAGGGCCAGGCCCCGGCACTCACCACTTTAAAGGCCCAAGCTGGCACTGCAGATGCTCTGGTTTCCATCAGGTATTTCTCCCAGCTGAAGCTGTCAGGGTCAGGATAGTCTAGACAGGAAAACAATGCGCAGGTTGAGTGGCTTCTCCACTAAGGCATATCCCACAAGTCCCTGCTTCCCCACAAGATCCATGCAGCACTCACTCTGCACTGGGGCCAGAGGGAACTCTGGAAACGTCAGCTCCTTCTGCGCCCTCCGTGCTAGCGTCCAACAGCTTGGGCTCTCCCTTAACCCACTGACTGGCCTGGCAGAACCAGCACACTGCACAGCTAAATCCAGTGCAGCATTTCTCTGCTCCTTCCCTTCCTCTTCACACTGGCTCTGGCTGGCTGTGGGTCACACGCATATGGTGTGCAAGTACAGGCAGTCCCCGAGTTACGCGGATCCGACTTACGTCGGATCCGCAGTTACGAACGGGGCACTTCCTCTCCCTGGTCTCGAGCAGACCAGGGAGAGGAAGCAAAGCGGCGGAACATGCGGCCAGCTGACAGCCCAGACGTGTCTGGGCTGTCAGCTGGCCGCGCGTTCCGCCGCCGCTTTCCTTCCTCTCCCTGGTCTGCTCGAGACCAGGGAGAGGAAGTGCCCCGTTCGTAACTGCGGATCCGACGTAAGTCGGATCCGCGTAACTCGGGGACTGCCTGTACTTGCACACCATATGCGTGTGACCCACAGCCAGCCAGAGCCAGTGTGAAGAGGAAGGGAAGGAGCAGAGAAATGCTGCACTGGATTTAGCTGTGCAGTGTGCTGGTTCTGCCAGGCCAGTCAGTGGGTTAAGGGAGAGCCCAAGCTGTTGGACGCTAGCACGGAGGGCGCAGAAGGAGCTGACGTTTCCAGAGTTCCCTCTGGCCCCAGTGCAGAGTGAGTGCTGCATGGATCTTGTGGGGAAGCAGGGACTTGTGGGATATGCCTTAGTGGAGAAGCCACTCAACCTGCGCATTGTTTTCCTGTCTAGACTATCCTGACCCTGACAGCTTCAGCTGGGAGAAATACCTGATGGAAACCAGAGCATCTGCAGTGCCAGCTTGGGCCTTTAAAGTGGTGAGTGCCGGGGCCTGGCCCTGCCCCTGGCTCTGCTGGTGCAGTCATGAGCCGGTGAGCTCTGGGCCTCTGGAGACTCCATTATGCCCATGTGGGTCTGTAAAGGGGCACTGGACAGCTACTCCCTCACACAGTGCCGTGCCGGTGGGAGCCCCAAAAGCAGGCACGCCAAGCCTGTGTTCCCCGCAGACACTGGATTTGAATTCATACCCCAGATCTCGCATTTGGACCTGTGCATGACAAGGTTTGTCTGATGGGCCGAGCCACAGAAACCATTGCCATGGATTGTCCGAGCCTGGAGAGCACTGCTCAGCAGGGCCACCCTGGGTGAGGGGGGAAGCAGCAGCTCAGTAGCATTCCTCCCTCTTGAGCTTTGGGGTGTGACGCAGGGAAACCAGTTTGCCAGCCTGGTTTGTTAGGACCAGGGCTGACCAAGAGAAATGCAGTGCACTGAAAACTGCTTCTTGACAGGCAAGCAGCATCCAACCAGTAGCCATTGACCCAGGTCTTCTGCTCCAAAAAGCCCCTCCTCCTCCTGAGCAAAATGTTTCCATCCTGCATCAGCATCACATTGATCTGGGCCTGTCATTGAATTAATCCAGCCCTGCCCCCGCCAAGCACATTGTCCTCCCTATTCAACTCATTAAACTCCAGAGACTCACTCTGGGCTCCCACCTCCTTTGTCCTTTGTCTCTGCCCGACAGAGAGTTTTCCAGGCTGCACGTTTATTTTTAATGTGGGAGCATTCCAGAGAAAACCTTAAAACCCCCCAATAGACGTTCCTATACCCATCGCCAGTCAGGCTTATGGAGCGTCAGGAGGCCAGAGTCCATCCAACTCTTGCTAGGAAGGATTGGGGGCCTGCTTGGACAGAGCGCCCTGTCCTTTGCTGGCTCAGAAAAAAAGGCCTGAGTCTTAAGTGCGGGCTGTGTGTCCAAGTCCTCTCTCTGGTGCTGTCTGGACATTCTGCTTTGACCCAGTATGCGAGAGCCTCTCTAGGGGGGTGGCAGCTCTCTAGAGGTGCAACAATCTGTGTGAATTGGCCCACTTCCTCCCTCCCCCATTGTTAGTTCTTGGAGGGCTATGGCTTCCTGCTCCGACTCTTGCTGTCCCACAATGATACTGTGACACCCTGCTGTGATATTGTCAGCCACCGTGTTACCTCTTCAGTTCAGCAACTGAGAACTTCACTGCGGCTAAGCTATGTGTCAGCTTCCTGGCACACCAGCATGTCTGCCCTGCCGACAAATGCTCCAGGACTCTGCCAGCCCAAACCTTTCCTAGCAGGTACTAAGTGGTGAACTCTAGGTCCCGAGTTCTTTACAGATGCCCTGCAGCGCATAGCTCCTTTTCACTGTAACAACCACAGAACCGTGTCAAGTTCCCCGCTCCTTCCCAGAGATGGTACACAGCCGCTTATTTATTTCACTGGAGTGGATAGATCCATTATGCCAACCACAGCGTGGCATTGGACTTATTGTAAAAGTAAAACAAGTTTATTAACGCAAGGATAGACATTTCCATAAGATCTGGAAAAGTAAAGCAATTAGTTTAGGAACGAAGATGAGCGTCTTGAAAACGTCTGTATTTAGCAGCATGTTGTATGGATGTGAGACGTGGGTGATAAAGAAAGATTCGAAGAGAAGGATATTGGCGTTCGAGAGGAATTGTTAGAGCAAGATCCTGAGAATAGGATGGATGCAGAAGGAGGAATTATATAGGAAGATACAGCCAAAAGAGAACCTACTGCAGAAGGGTTATACAACGGAAGTTACAGCTATTCAGGCATATCTGCAGAATGAATGATGAGTGAAAAGTTCAGACCCTGGTTTCGGCATAATGGATGGTACCAATAGGAGAGGCAGACCCCGCAGAAAATGAGGAGATGATATAGGAGATTGGTGCGGAGCTAGTCTACAGAAACTAAGCCACTCCGCACTGGACAGGGAAAGATGGAAGGAAATAGTGAGGGAGGCATCGGACACCAACGGGCATTAAGCCTATGCTTGATGATGATGATGAAGTACATGGCATTGAGACAAAAAGGGTTACAAAGAAACAAAAGTAAAATCGAATCTAAGACTGAATCTTGGCTTATCCAACTAGAGTATTGTGTTCAAAGTTTTTCAATTCAAAAATGTTTTTTGCAGTCATAATGGGGTAGGTTCAGAAGCTAAAATAGAAAAGAACAAGTTAAAATTACTTAGGCAATTTAGATGTCTTCAAGTCACCAGGGTCTGATGAAATGCATCCTAGAATACTCAAGGAGCTGATAGAGGAGGTGTCTGAGCCTTTAGCTATCCTCTTTGAAAAATCCTGGAAGCTGAGAGAGAGTCTAGAAGACTAGAAAAGGGCAAATATAGTGCCCATCTATAAAGAGGGAAATGAGGACAATCCAGGGAATCACAGACCAGTCAACTTCTGTACCTGGAAACTTAATGGAGCAAATAATTAAGGAATCCAAACATCCAGAAGATAAGTCAGCATGGATTTGTCAAGAACAAATCATGTCAAACCCTCTGATAGCTTTCTTTGACAGAATAACAAGCCTCGTGGATGAGTGGGAAGTGGTACATGTCTAGACGTGGGTAGGGCATTTGACACAGTCTCTCATGACCTTCTTGTTAACAAACTAGGGAAATACAACAGTTAGATAACCATTCCCGGAGAGTAGTTACCAGTGCTTCACCATCATGATGTAAGGGCATAACGAATGGGGTTCCATAGAGATCAATTTTGGGACTAGTCCTATTCAATATCTTCGGTGATTTAGAGACATGGCATAAGATAAATAGAATGAAATTCAGTAAGGACAAATGAAAAGTTCTTCTCTTAGGAAGGAACAATCAGTTGCATGCATAGAAAATGGGAAATGACTGCCTAGGAAGGAGTACTTTGGAAAGGGATTTAGGGGATGTGGTAGATCACAAGCTAAATATGATTCAACAGTGTGATCCTGTTGCAAAAAAAGCCAGTGTGAGTCTGGGCTGCATTAACAGGAGTGCTGTAAGCAAGACACAGGAAGTCATTGTTCTGCTCTACTCCACGCTGATTATGTCTCAACTGGAGTACGGTGTCACTTCTGGGCACCACATTTTAGGAATGATGTGGGGAAATTGAAGAAGGTCCAAAGAAGAGCAACACAAATGAATAAAGGTCTAGAAAACGTGACCTATAAGGGAAGGTTGAAAGAACTGGGTTTGTATAGTTTGGAAAAAAGACTGAGAGAGGAAATAACAGTTTTCAGCTTTCTAAAAAGTTGTTGCAAGGAGGAGCAAGAAAAAATATTCTCATTAACCTCTGAGGATAGGACAAGAAGCAATGGGCTTAAATTGCAGCAATGGAGGGTTAAGTTGGACACTAGGAAAGATTTCCTAACTGTCAGGGTGGTTAATCACTGGAATAAATTGCCTAGGGAGGTTATGGAACCTCCACCATGGAGATTTTTAAGAGCAGGTTAGACGTATACTGGTCAGAGATGGTCTAGATGGTGCTTGGCCCTGCCACGAGTACAGGGAACTGGACTTGATGACCTCTTTCACGTTTTCATACTCTGTGATTCTTCCAGCATGGCTGACCTGTTCTTTAGTCATGCATGGAGCGGAGCATAAAGCAACTCCACCCTGCTCTAGTACCCTACCTCCTGTCCAGACCCCGTTAGCCCTACTACCACCCATCCCTTCACCCGCTACCTTCCAGGCCCCCCACCCCACCCTGCTCCTGTACCGTCCTTCCCACCCAAACCCCCACACCTCAACCTGTCCAGACCCTACACCCAGACCCCCAGCCTGCTCTCCAGAAGCCCCCTCCCACACACTGAACTGGCCCCAACTCAGAGCCCTTGGGGGGGGCACAAAATGTATTAGCCCTGGGCCCTCAGAAGAGTTAATCCAGCCCTGCAAGCCCTGAGCCCCTGCCGCATGGGGCTGGAGCTTGAGGGGAGTGAGGTGAGTTGTTTTTCTTCCTGCTTCTCAGTTGGGGGCCACATCTGTGAGGGGTTTTTCCCCTCTTTTCACTCGAGTACCAGGTTAGTGAGGGGTTTTTGGTTTTGTTTCTCACTTATATGTGGCCCCCGACAAATTTTTCTGTGGGTCCATGGTCTCCAACCCAAAAAAGCTTCCCCACCCGTGCTTGAGGTCTTTAAAGGCAGAAGGTCTATGGCTGTGGGCTGGGTTATGCTGAAAAGTTAAATTGGCATAGCTACATCTCTCTGGAGAGTTAAACATCCATGTTAAGCCGACCTAACCCCCAACAGCCTAGCTAGTGCCCCTCAGGCAGCTGGAATACATACAGCAAGAGAGACCCCTTTCCATTGACACTGTGTGGTTGTTGCTGTGCCACTGTTGTTTGTGTAGACGTACCCTGTGATGGCAAGTGTGTTGGAGAGAAGCAGGGGGTGTTGAGAGCTCCAGGACGTATGTGGGAAGGGTTGGGGGAGGTATGCAGAGTGAGAATGAAGGGAACAGGTGCTTGTGGGCAGCCCTCTGACCCTCTGTACCTTCTGCCTCAGCGGCCACCCCACAGCTTTCTGGTCAACATGAAGCTGGAGGCAGTGGACAGGCGGACGCCCTCCCTCATCCGCGTGGCCAGCGTGGAAGACGCGGAGGATTACCGGATAAAGGTGGGATTCCTGTTTTCTGCTTGCCGCCTGTGTTTAACTACCACTGTAGCTTGATCCTCCTGCCCACCCTCATCTTATTGAGACCAATGGAAAGATTCCTGTGCAAAATGTGTCTGTGTGCGTTGTGGCAGGGTCAGGCCAGAGGCCTGCAGCAGAGTGGGAGAAAGGCAGCCCCAAAAGGGCAGAAGACCTGCTAAACAGAAGCCGTGGGCAACAGGACAATTAGAAGCAACTGGGAGGGAGCTGGCTCAGGCAGATTGGGGCCAGCTGACTCCATTGCTGGCTTGCTGGAGACCTTTAAAAGCCTCCTAGATTGGATGCCGGGGAGAAGAGTGAGAGGACGGGAGGAGAGGTAGAGGAGAGACAGAGTTACAGGAAACCAGCACAGCTTTAGAACGGAGGGAGGGAGGGAGAGGGAGTCCTGGGAGGAGAAGCTGGGCTCCCTACCCCAGAAACCAGCTGCAAGCCCTGACCCCTGGGGAAGGGGGGGGGGCGGGAGACAGGAC